CTTAGTTAAGGAAGCTGTGGGGAACGGGTACTATTCTGGGAAAAAAGGCAGCTGTTGAGAGTGAAAGACCTTGAGTTCCCATATCTTTAGGGAAGAGTCTGGCACTTCTTTGGGATTCTTCATACCCTGACTCACCCTGGGAGGTTTTCCTTCCTTCTATCCTTTCTGAAAGGTTGAACAAAGAAGTAATGACATGTGGAGTACCTTGCATATTATCCCTTTAAAGTCCGGGAACAGGGGGTTAAGATGGGTACAGCTGATTACACAAAACCCACAGCTTTCTACAGCTACTAAAAATTTGAAATTTAGGACACTATCCAAAGCTACTACAGTGTGATATAAGGTCCTATACATTCTTGAGGCTGCTTCCCCATTTGTGTTACTCCACTTCCAGTTACTGTTCTCCTTGTTCCCTCAGTTCCAGCCACACTGACCACTTTGCTGTTCCTTGACTAATACCAGGTATCTCTCCTTCCCACAAACACCTCAGGGCCTCTTTACTGATTCATTTTTTATTCTGCCTACAATCCTCAAAGGCCCACTCCCTCATCTCATCTTTTTTAAAATTTCAACTTCTTGATGAACATTCTATGATTATGTTATTTAAAATAAGAAATACAAAGCCTATCTTTCTTTTCTGCTTTATTTTCCTCCCCAACATTTAATATTATCTTACATCATAAAAGATATATATATAGATAGATAGATAGATATATAAAAGATATATATATATATAGTTCCCTTATTAGAAAATAAACTGTGAGTGCATAACTTTTTGTCTGTTTAGTTCACTGTAATATTTCTGGTCGGCGGCTGGGCGCGGTGGCTCACGCCTGTAATCCCAGCACTTTGGGAGGCTGAGACGGGCCGATCACGAGGTCAGGAGATCGAGACCATCCTGGCTAACATGGTGAAACGCCGTCTCTACTAAAAATACAAAAAAATTAGCCGGGCGTAGTGGCAGGCGCCTGTAGTCCCAGCTAATTGGGAGGCTGAGGCAGGAGAATGGCGTGAACCCGGGAGGCGGAGCTTGCAGTGAGCCGAGATCGCGCCACCGCACTCCAGCCTGGGCGACTAAGCAAGACTCCGTCTCAAAAAAATAAAAAAATAAAAAAATAAAAAAATAAATATATATATATATATATGTGTGTGTGTGTGTGTGTGTGTGTGTGTGTGTGTGTGTGTGTGTATTTCTGGTCTAGAAGAGTTTCTGGAACACAGCATGTGCTCAACAAGTATCTACTGAAAATAAAAAGGAACTGGAAAACAGCACTGCATGGGCGGAGCTTTGTGATTCAGTTTGATAGATAGGTGAGGGTGCCCTAAGCCTTTCAAGTGTTGAATAAATATATAAGATTCCTCTTTAATGTACATGAAATATGTGTATAATCATAATTCACAAAGTATTCTCACTGATCCTTACAACACTCACACGACTATGAATTGCTGTTATCTCCAACTTACAAATATAGAAGCTGGGTGTCAAATAAACCAAAATCTTGACCTCTTGAAGTGGTCATTTGTTTTAGGAGTTGGTCTCCTAATTTCAAAACTGAATACCGGTGTAAGTCCCATAGGCCAACCTTAAAAGAGAAGATAGGTAATGTGGGTTAAAAATAGATTACAAAAAATTTTTAAAAAGAAAAATGGATTACAAAACAAAAATATTAAAGACAAATAGAAGACTATCTAGAAACAAATTGTATTTCTGAGATTATTGGGTCTAACAGAACAAAAATTATAAAGATACAGGAAAGACAAGATCTCTGCTTGCTCATAGGCAGGGTGTATATGTGTGGGAATGGTTCAAACAGGAAGGAACTCTGGAGAAGCTTCAAGACAGGAAAACAATGCAAATTGTAATAGACATAAAAAAGGTTTCAGGGGAAGTAAGACTTGGGATGGTCCTCAAAGTGTGGACAAAAAGTGACTTTACAGAAATGGAGGACAGCTATAAGAAACATTTCAGGAAATAATAATTGTACTTTGAGAGCCTAATATTATTTCATTCCTTGACTGTATCAGTAACAGTACTAATTTCAGATTGAATAATGTTGGTGGATCTAGTAAAGCAATAGACTTCTTCTTTCTTTCTTTTTTTTTTTTTAGTTGGAGTCTTGCCCTGTTGCCCAGGCTGGTGTACAGTGGTGCCATCTTGGCAGACTGCAACCTCCACCTTCTGGGTTCAAGTGATTATCATGCCTCAGCCTCTGGAGTTGCTGGGATTACAGGCATGTGCCCACCAGGTCTGGCTAATTTTTTTTGTATTTTTAGTAGAGACAAGGTTTCACCATACTGGTCAGGCTGGTCTTGAACTCCTGATCTTGTGATCTGTCCACCTTGGCTTCCCAACATACTGGGATTACAGGCATGAGCTACAGCGCCAGCCTAGCAATAGACTTCTGCAAATGTTTCTAGCAACATTTTGGAAGTTGGAGAGAAGACAGTCATTGGTTTTGACTGCAGACTTGGCTCCTTAACTGTGCTTGGCGCCTTAACTGTCCTTGGCTCTCTGAGCTCATAAATTCAGCCTAGATTTTGTGCTTTTCATTCACATAGGCCCATCTAAGACCTCCAGCTTTTTAATGAGAAAAGATTGATTAATACCTAGAAAAACAACAAAGGTGTTAAGTTTCATGATTCTGGTATCTGATAGTCTGTAGCACAATTGGGACTTGTATTTCCACACTGATTACTGGAAAAGGCAAAATGGTTTTCCCAGCCTAAACACTGGGAGACTGCACTTCTGTCATGGAGAAAAGGCCTTCCCATGACTCTCCTGCCTTCACATTTCAAAAATATTGCCTTTTTGTTTATAATTTCCCCCTTATTACAGAAAAAACCAGTAAGGAGAATATAAAGTGAGATGAAATGTGGAGCTGACTCAGAAAAGAAACTGACCTACATTCTAAACTCTTAATCAAGGAAAATTTTGATCATGTTAAAAGTATAGTAAACAGAAATGCCATTCTTTATAGTGGTGAGACATTAAAGGTGAGAGGAAAGCATGAAGCACAATCAAGTTACATCTTAGAGGAGCTTCATAAGACAGGTGTGAAAGTCGGGAGAAGTGTGGAGTACTTTGGTCTACCTAGGACAAATGTAAAAGAAATTAATTAGTAGAAAAATTCCATCTGCCAGCATGGCATGTGGATTAGCAAGGAATGATCCAGACCTCATTTCTAACTGGTGGGAAGAGGTGATGTAAATTGGTTCTTATTTCTTTCCTTCTTCTTTCTCCATTTTAATCTCAATACCTTTAGGTCATTTTGTGCAAATTAGGCCAAAGTGGAGGTAGCAAGAAAGCACATTCCCAGCATTCATATTACAAAAGAAAAATTGAAAGAGAATGCCACCTGGATTACATGCTAGTCACTGAGCATCCTACCAGGAGGCCTGAAATTGTGGTGTAACCTGTAAAACGCCCAATGATATTTCAGTAGAGGTTGATAGGACTTTTACTTTAAGGAATACTTGGTTTTCTAGAGAATAACTTACTCAACAGGGGATCCTCAGCGTTGAAATTGAGTCCGGATAAGTGAAATACGCACAATAAAACTCCCGTTTTGTGTATTTGACGTTTGTAACATAAAATTCTTGGTAGCAGATAATATTGGAAATATCATAAGGCCACAATGTATCTACTGCATAAATTAAGAAGCATTTATGAAAGGCTTTAGGTTAAAGCTAACTGAACGTTTCAAAACTAGGGATAAACGAACGTCAGTTGTTTAGGAAGTGTGGGTATCTCTGAAAAGAGTCTTTAGGGTGTGGGTCAGGAAGAACCTGGTGGAGTTCCAAGTGGACGAACCAGAGAGGAGCTGACTTGGAGCTCGTGTACTTGGTGACGGCCTTGGTGCTCTCGGACACCGCGTGCGTGACAGGCGAACAGCCGTCTGGATCTCCCTGGAGGTGATGGTCGAACGCTTGTAATGCCCCAGGCGGGAAGCCTCGCCAACGAAACGCTCGAAGATGTCATAACGAAGGTGTTCAAGATCCCCATTGCTTTGGAAGAGATGCCGGTGTTGGTGGACCTGCTTCAGCACCTTGTACAAGTACACGGTGCAGCTCTCCTTGCGGCTGCGCTTTCGCTTCTTGTCTTAGTAATAGCCTCCTTGGAATCCTTTTTCAGGGCTGGGGCTGACTTGGTGGGGTCAGGCGTGCTGTAATTTAACTGCAGAAAAGGTACAAATAATAGGAAAAAGCGGCCGGGCGCGGCAGCGCGTGCCCGTAATTCCAGTAGTTTGGGAGGTGGAGGCGGAGATGGGCGGATCACTTGAGGTCAGGAGTTCCAGAGCAGCCTGAACAAAATGGCGAAACCATGCCTCTCCAAAAACATCTAAAAAATTAACTGGGCGTGTGATGCACGCCTGTAATCCCAGTTACTGGGGAGGCTCAGGGAGGAGGATCGCTTCAGCCAGGAAAGAGGTTGCGGTGAGCCACGATCGCGCCGCTGCGTTCCAACCTGGGGGCAAAGCCAGACCCTGTCTCAAGGAAAAAAAAAAAAAAGTGGCCGGGCGCGGTGGCTCACGCCTGTAATCCCAGCACTTTGGGAGGCCAAGGCAGGCGGATCGCCTAAGATCAGGGGTTCGAGAGCAGCATGACCAATATGGTGAAACCCCGTCTCTACTAAAAATTACAAAAATTAGCCGGGCTGTGGTGGCTGGCGCTTGTAATCTCAGTTACTCAGGAGGCCGAGGCAGGAGAATCACTTGAACCCAGGAGCGGAAGTTGCAGTGAGCCGAGATGGCACCACTGCACTCCAGCCTGGGCGGCAGAGGGACACCATGTCTTTAAAAAAAAGAAGAAGAAAAACCTGTGCGTTGTAACGTCCTATTCACGAATTCTTATGCAAATGAGGTGATTAATACATTAGTGTGTAGGACTGGTGGCGATTCTAGATGACGTCATATGCATTTTTGTCCAATCCAAAGAAACGTGTTTCATAACAGCGATTCCATTGGTTTAAATAAAACTGCAATTTGAGCCAATGGCACAGCTTTATTTTCGCGCCCAGTATTGACTATAAGTAGTGGGGTTCTGGCAAAGTTCTCTAATTTCTTCTCAGTCTGTCTACCGATCTTTTCTTCGTCATGTCTGGACGCGGCAAGCAGGGAGGAAAAGCTCGCGCCAAGGCCAAGACCCGCTCTTCTCGGGCTGGTCTCCAGTTTCCCGTGGGCAGAGTGCACCGGCTGCTCCGCAAGGGCAACTATGCTGAGCGTGTCGGGGCCGGCGCCCCGGTGTATCTTGCGGCGGTGCTGGAGTACCTGACCGCCGAGATCCTGGAGCTGGCGGGCAACGCCGCCCGCGACAACAAGAAGACCCGTATTATCCCGCGTCACCTGCAGCTGGCCATCCGTAACGACGAGGAGCTCAACAAGCTGCTGGGCAAAGTGACCATCGCTCAGGGTGGTGTCCTGCCCAACATTCAGGCCGTGCTACTGCCCAAGAAGACCGAGAGTCATCACAAGGCCAAGAGCAAATAATGTCTCCATAGCGTCACTTTACAATACAACGGCTCTTTTCAGAGCCACTTACTATTTCTGCGGGAGAGCTGGGCCACTGGTTAAACATTCGGAACGTTTATTGTGAAAAGAAAAGCATTTTTCATCTAAAGCTTAGTAATGACTTTAGGGAAAACCTTACAGGATTCAGGTGACTTGTTTAAGTCAGAATGTGAACAAGTCATTTAATACAGGGCTTACAAGAGTGTTCGCTGTGTTTATTCATCGCGTGTTATATGTACTAGAGCCAATAAGAAAAAAATCCAGGGCCAGGCGCAGTGGCTCACGCCTGTAATCCCAGCACTTTTGGAAGCTGAGGCGGGAAGATCGCTGAAGCTCATGAATTCGAGATCTGCCTAGGCATCATAGCCGATACAAAAATTAGCCGGGCGGCATGGTGCATACCTTTAGTCCTAGCACTTCAGAGGCTGAAGTGAGACAATCGTTTGAGTGGGGGAGGCTGAGGCTGCAGTGATCCGAGCCCGCGCCACTGCACGCCAGCCTGAGTGACAGAGCGAGACTCTGACTCGGGTAAAGAAAAAAAGGAATCCAGTACAGAATGATAGTCATATCAAATTGGCTATATCAATGCCGAACACAGTAACGCGGAAGTAGCTGGCGCCTAAGTGGCTTAAACGCGGAGAAACCACGTACTGATGATGGAACAAAACTGACCAATCAGATTATAGAGCGGGGCTTTTAAAATTTAAGAAGCTTCTTTGTAGCTAGGCGTCAGACAAAAAGTTTGACACCAACTTCGAAAACTGCCTGCCTGATCTAACACATTGTGCACAGCAATTTTTTAGAGATCTCTGGGTGGCTCTGAAAAGAGCCTTTGGGGCTTTGTTGCGGTTTTCACACGCCAGCTTCCTACTTCTTTTTGGCAGCCGCCTTCTTGGCCTTTGCAGCTTTAGGTTTTGCTGCTTTGGGCTTAGCGGCTTTGGGCTTTGCCGCTTTCGGCTTAACTGCCTTGGGCTTGGCAGGACTCTTGGTTGCCTTTTTCGGTTTGGCCGCGGCCTTGGCCTTCTTAGGGCTCTTCGCCACTTTTTTGACCCCAGCCGCCGCGGGTTTCTTCGCCTTCTTCGGAGTCTTCTTCACTGCCTTTTTCGCCCCTGCAGCCTTCTTGGGCTTCTTAGGCGTGGCCCCCGCGGGTTTCTTAGCTTTAGCGGCGCCTGCCTTCTTGGCTTTGGGCTTAGCTTCCCCGGAGGCCGCCTTCTTGTTGAGTTTAAAGGAGCCAGAAGCACCAGTGCCCTTGGTCTGCACCAGGGTGCCCTTGCTCACCAAGCTCTTGAGGCCCAGCTTGATGCGGCTGTTATTCTTCTCCACGTCGTAGCCACCGGCCGCTAAGGCCTTCTTAAGAGCTGCCAAAGAAAGACCATTGCGCTCCTTAGAAGCTGCCACAGCCTTGGTGATCAGCTCTGAGACTGGGGGCCCAGTCGCTTTGCGCTTAGCCGCGCCAGCGCCGGCCGCCTTCTTAGTTGTCTTCTTCTTAGCGGGGGATTTCTCCACAGGCGCTGGGGTGGCTGTTTCGGCAGGAGCGGTTTCCGACATGGTGGCAAGAAACTGCTAGAAGAGAATAAGCTCAAAATCCAAAGAGCAAGTTTTGCATTGCTGCTATGCTCGGGCCCCGGGCTTATATAAGCCGGCGCTGCCCTGTGATTGGTGGAGCGTCCAATCCACCGCCCTCTGGCCGCCGCCGCTCGCTGTTGGACTCCCAAATTGTGTTTGTTAGTCCTCAAAATTTGATTAAATGCTTAAAACAACGGTACAGAATTTGGCACTTTGAAGCTCCAAAGGAGGAAAACAGCCTCCAGGTTCACATACTTGTTTGTGTTTTCACGAATCTCGTGCAATTGATGAAAGATATTTTTAAAAATCCCTTCTGCTTTTCACAAGAATCCAATGGGCTGAGGGCATCATGTTAGTTAGTAGCGTGTCGCGATAAATTTCTATTAAGTATCCGGTGAAAGTTATTTTTTAAAATTCGCCCATGAGTTCACGCTTTGATTTTTGCAAGAGAAAAGACACTGGGTTCCTTGGTTTGGGCATGAACTTTGTTTCTAACTGTAGCAAGTAACACAGGCACGGGACAGCTGGTTGCCTACAGCCCCAACTTAACCACACAGACTTGACTTTACAAACTGGTTCTGTGTCCTAGGAGTTTCCATGTGCTGATGTCTTTACAGAATGGGATTTTTCAGCTTGGAAAAGTTCCACGGTCAGAGTGACTTCTTCTGCATTGCAGCACCAGTAATTCAAGTCGCTTTGACTTAAGAATCCAACTACCCAGATTCAAATTCAAACTTAAATGTGTTATGTTTTCTAATTGAAGTGTTTTCCCTTTTTAGTTCCTGGGCAAATCCATTAAAAAGTGGAAGAAAAATAACAGATAATTCAGTTTAGAGAAAATTCAAACCTGCGGAAAATTATTCAAGAGCGCCCTGTCATCCTCAAATACACAAACTGTTTAGGGGACCCAGGATTCTGTTAGGTTTTCAAAATGTTCTCACTGCTCCCCCTGAATCTCCACCCACATTTAACAAGCTGCACCATCAGGAGTACTCTCTTCTATAAGCAGCCAGGATACATCAATATGGGTATTTTTGTGTGTTTAAATGCTAATATTTTAGAAGAATATCTGGCTATTGACTGAAAAGATTGGATGGGATATTGAGCGACTTCAGGTTATAGAAGTTCAGAGGAACTCAGGAAAACACAGGCAAATACATTGAGGTTGAAATAAATGAAGTTTACGATTTATAGGATGTGGAGGGGATTGGACAGGATGCCTGGATGATAAAAATGATCAAATAATGATTTGGATTCCTAATGAAATCAACAGTCACTTATTTCTCACCCTTGAAATGCTGTGCAAGAAAATTTAAAGTAGCCAACACATTTCATCTTCTCTCTAAGAACTCCTGGAGAGGTTGGCAGACTATGGCCAAATCTGGACAATGGCTTGTTTCTGTATGGCCCTCAAGCTAAGAAGTGTCTTTACATTTTAACAGTATTGTTTAAAACAAAAACAAAAACAAAAACAAAGGCTGGGCACGGTGGTTCATGTCTGTAATTTCAGCACTGGGGAAGACCGGGATAGGAGGGTTGCTTGATTTCAGGAGTTCAAGACCAGCCTGGGCAACGTAGTGAAACCTTATCTCTACTAAAAATACAAAAAATATTGCTGGGTGTGGTGGTGCATGCCTGTAGTCTCAGCTACTTGGGAGACTGAGGTGGGAGGATCACTTGAATTCAGGGTGTCAAGGCTGCAGTGAGCAGTGATAGCACCACTGCACTCCAGCCTGGGCAATGGAGCAAGATGCTGTCTCAAACAAGCAAACAAACTAAAAACTAAAAAGAATGTGTGACAGAGACTATATATGGCCTTTAAACTCCAAACTATTTATTATCTAGCCCTTTTGCTGTGTTATAAATTTATCCACAGAGACACAGATATTGTACAGGCCTCTTACCAAACAATGCAAATTGAGAACTAAAGAAAAGGAGATCTTCACAAGAAAATGTTCTAACCAAGCACTTTCTGCTGTTCCAAACACAAAACTTAGAAGGTCCAGGAGAAAAAAACCCCAAAACTCCATGCGTAGTGGGAGCAGGGGTATAACAATAAGGGCTGACACTCATTCAGCATTTACTACCTGCCAGGAAGTAATCTTAAATACGTTCTACAGGTTTCTATTAATTTGCCACATTTACAGCTATGCAGCATGAGGCCCAGATAGAGAATGAATAACTTGCCAAAGGTTATACAGCTATGAAGTGGCAGCTCTAAATTTTAAACCTAGAAACATGGCCTCAGCTCCATTATGGAGGGAAAATCCTTGAAGAGGTGAGAAGAGAACTATCTTTGAAGCTTGGAAGAGGCAGTGTCAAGTTGTTCCTACACCTAGCAGACAGCCACTAAAAGAGCTCTAAGTTAATTGTGGGAAGAGGCTTCTGGCCCCATGGATCAAAAGTGGTTTGTTGTTGTTGTTGTTGTTGTTTTTCTGAATCAAATCTTAAGTTTCCGAAAACTGTATATGCTCATCCAACCCTTTAAATGTGAGGACTTTTTTGCTCATCTGTGGTGATGGATATCACAAAAATTATGCACAGACCTTTTCTTCTTTCTTTCCCTTCCTTCCTTTTTTCTATTTATTTATTTATTTATTTTGAGATGGGGTCTCACTCTGTCACCCAGGCTGGCATACAGTGGCCCGATCTCAGCTCACTGCAACCTCAGCCTCCCGAGGAGCTGGGATATTTTTGAGATGGAGTCTAGCTCTGTAGCCCAGGCTGGAGTGCAGTGGTGCGATCTTGGGTCCAAGCGATTCTCCTGCCTCAGCCTCCCAAGGAGCTCTGATTACAGGCGCCCACCACTATGCCCAGCTAATTTTTTGTATTTTTAGTAGAGACGGGGTTTCACCATGTTGGCCAGGCTGGTCTGACCTTGAGATTCACCCACCTCCATCCATCCTTCCTTCCTTCCTTCCTTCCTTCCTTCCTTCCTTCCTTCCTTCCTTCCTTCCTTCCTTTTCTTTTCTTTCATCAATTATCCTTAGTGAGCCTGTATTTTATGTGTGGCCCAACACAACTCTTCTGCTTCCAATGTGGCCCAGGGAAGCCAAAGGGCTGGACACCACTGCATGCCTCTTTGCAAGAGTGAATCCAATATGAGAAAGAAGGGAAGGCACAGATACATGGCTGAGCTGGCTGAGAGCACTGGGGAGAAAAACTGCCTTCACATCTCTGCCAAACGCTAAACAGCTGAAAATACTGGACAAGTTTGGTTAGAAACCAGGAAGAGCTTTAAATACCACTTGAAGTTGAATACCCAGACTGATTCTCTCGGAAAAAACAAACCAAACCAAACCAAACAAAAACCAACAACAAAAAAAACACCTCATGAAAATCCAACTCCACGATCTATGACAAACATATTGTGAAATGACAGGAAAATACTTTTTAAGGTCCACTTACAGAGCTAAAAGTTCATTTCACAGTTGGTAGGTTAAAGTATCCCTCTTCAGAGGCCCACTACCTAACACATGGCTTGCTAAACATTACATTGAAACAGAACAAGTGTTGAGCTTTTGGTCAAAATTGTTACTTGCGTGGGGTACAAATGGCAACTTTGTTACATGCATATGCTCCATGGTGGTCAAGTTACATGGGGTATAGGAGAGCTAAATAGCTTACATTGTACAAATTAAGTAACGTATCATTCATTCTTTCCTCCCTTCTGAGTCCTGATTGTCTATTGTTCCACTCTCATGTGTGCAGTTTTTAGAGCCTGATCTTTGGTTTTTGGTTTTTTTTTTGAGAGGGAGTCTGGTCTGGCTCTGTAGCCCAGGCTGGAGGATAGTGGCGCGATCTCGGCTCACTGCAACCTCCGCCTCCCAGGTTCAAGCAATGCTCCTGCCTCAGCCTCCGGAGTAGCTGGGACTACAGGCGCGTGCCACCCTCCCGGCAATTTTTTTTTTCAGTAGACGGTTTCATCGTGTTAGCCAGGATAGTCTCGATGTACTGACCTTGTGATCTGGCCGCCTCGGCCTCACAAGAGCCTGTGTACACTCACTATATTACTTGTTCCCTTCCTTAGGGGCAGACAAGCAGGAAACACATTCCTCAAAGAACAGTAATACTTTTCAAAAGTTAAACTTCATCTGCACAATTGTCCCTATGACATATGTCTTTTTTGAATGGTAATCCTTATCAGTAGGAGCAGGTTCTGCATGTGGAATTGACTTAGCATACCAACAGCCTGTGACCTAACTCCTGCATTAGTGTGTTGAGCCACGACTACGTTTTGTCCACAACTTGTAAGTAACATGGATTTAAGACACGTCTCAAAATCTACAGCTTCCTTTCGGTGACAATTGAGGGGCTCTGAAAAGAGCCTTTTGGGGTTGGACAGACTTTTTGGGATGATAGAAAAACATTTATGCCCTCTCCCCTCGGATGCGGCGCGCAAGCTGGATGTCTTTGGGCATAATAGTGACGCGCTTGGCGTGAATGGCGCACAGGTTGGTGTCCTCAAATAGCCCCACCAGGTAGGCCTCGCAAGCCTCTTGCAGCGCCATCACCGCCGAGCTCTGGAAGCGCAGGTCGGTCTTAAAGTCCTGTGCGATCTCCCGTACCAAGCGCTGAAAAGGTAGCTTCCGGATTAGCAGCTCAGTTGACTTCTGGTAGCGGCGGATCTCGCGCAAAGCCACGGTGCCGGGGCGGTAGCGATGGGGCTTCTTGACTCCACCGGTGGCCGGAGCACTCTTGCGAGCCGCCTTGGTGGCCAGCTGCTTGCGCGGCGCTTTGCCGCCGGTGGACTTGCGAGCTGTCTGCTTTGTCCGTGCCATTGCTAAGTAGGCCTAACTACTTAACACAAATGAGAGAAAAAAAACTGATCATCCCTGTATTTATAGCTGCCCTCGCGTTCTGATTGGACAGTAGACTGTGGCATGCCACGTCTCACACACGGAATTGGCTCCCAGTTTAATCTGCCAGTGAAAGGGAGACATTCCGCCTCAGCTTTGGGTCAAGAAACGTAAAATGGTTTTGATAGCTAAAGAAAAACAAAAACGGAAACAAAAAATCCCCCTAAACTCTAGGAATTTTCATGCATCAAAATCCTGTTTAAATGTAAGCTTGAAAAATCTAAACTTGCCTTGCACTATTTGAATTATGTGGTGTCATTATTGGTTTGACAAAAAGTTAAGGAACGTGAAGGAAAAGTGAAACTAGAGTAAATTTTTAAGTGGAGGTATTGAAGGGGATATGAAACTCGAGCGTTGTAGGTATGCCAGTATTTCTCAAATTTAAACGTACTTAAGAATGTTTTAGAAGTTGGCCGACTTTTTCTGTAAAGGGCGATATTGAGGCATTTTGAGCGTTGCGGACTAGTGTCATAGTTACACAGCCCTTGCATTCATAGCGGGAAAGTAATCGACACAAGGTAAATGAGACCGGATGTTCCACTGTGACTTGCAAAAACCGGAGGCGTTATAAATTTGGCCGTCTATCAGAGAATACGACACTTTTAACCACTAAGTAATGCTGAAAGGGGCACCGAACCGCAATAAACCTTAGAGACTGCTTATGTAGAATCGCTAATTTGCCAAAACTGCCATACGTTTAGATGTTCTTAGGACATTAAGGCTCTAGTCTACAGCCCTTTCACAGATTTCATGGGTGGCCCTGAGAAGGGCCTTTGAGGAATGGGATAAGGAAAACACTCAGCCGCCAAAGCCATAGAGGGTGCGACCCTGGCGCTTGAGCGCGTAAACCACGTCCATGGCCGTGACTGTCTTGCGTTTGGCATGTTCCGTGTAGGTAACTGCATCGCGGATCACATTCTCCAAAAACACCTTAAGAACTCCGCGCGTCTCCTCGTATATAAGGCCTGAGATGCGCTTAACGCCTCCTCGCCGTGCCAGGCGTCGGATGGCTGGCTTGGTGATACCCTGAATATTGTCGCGCAGGACTTTGCGGTGGCGCTTAGCGCCTCCTTTGCCCAGACCCTTCCCACCTTTGCCGCGCCCAGACATATCTTGTACTAAGTAAAATGCAACACAGCGAGTCTCGCAGCAGTACTTATACATATAGTGATAAATCGGACCTGATTGAGAACTGTCCACACCAGCTGCATCCGGTCAGTCAATCGCAGACCTTACGCCCTGCCAACGACTTCAGGAAAAAAATGGAAAGGGCGGTGCTTAAACTCCAGATTCTGAAAATGATGCCCAATTAAAAGTTACTGAGCTCATCTTGCCCTTCCACAGTGTTTTAGGTTGACCGCCGCTGCAACGACATTCCTTTGGCTGGATCGTTGCAGCCTGTTTTTCCTGTCACCTCTTAGCATCGATTGCTGTAGTGCTTTGTGGCTGCTGGAATCAAGTGGCGCCATCTCTAGAGGGGTAATCACAGTCGTTTCGGGCAGTTGTGAAATCGTGTGTAGAAACTGCTTCCGTACAATCTCGAAGTGATCAGCCTGTGGAGTGGCTGACTGCGAAAGACTACACCTGATGATAGCTCCAAGGTGGGATTCCTCACCTTTCCCAAATTTGGTTCTCTATTATTTTCCTTACCTTTTATTCTTTCTGTAGCTGTCCTTTCTGTTCGGTTACCTCCCTCCCCGACCACATTTTTGGGGCAAGAACTGATTTCCTATTTTTTTTTCCCTCATTCCACCTAGAAACACTTCAGGAAGCTATTTGAGAAAGAAAGGTGGCTTTTACCCTCTAGTTCCTTCGAGTGGTGAAGATGCCGCTTGAGCTCCCTCTTGTTCCTCTTTTCTGTTGAACTAGGAAATCAGCTGTGCCCGGAAACCCTGTCTTTTACATTTACAAATAAAATGCAGGAGGGAAAGACCAAGGATGACTTTATTCCAAGAAAAAGAGTTTCAAATGGCTGGACTCTGTGGCTTACGCCTGTAATCCCAGCCCTTAGGGAGGCTGATGCAGGTGGACCACGAAGTCAGGAGTTCGAGACCAGCCTGGCTGAGATGGCGAAACCCCTTTTCTACTAAAAATAAAGAAAATTGGCCAGGCATGGTGGAGGGCGCCCATAACCCCACCTACTCGGGAGGTTGAGGCAGGAGAATCGCTTGAACCCGGGAGGCGGAGGTTGCAGTGAGCCAAGACCTCACCACTGCACTCCATGCACTCCAGCCTGGGCAACAGAGTGAGACTCCATCTCAACAAAAACAAAAAACAAAACAAAACTAAAAAACAGTTTCATGTTGGGTGACCTTCCTGACCTAGGCTGGCCCTGCTTTGCCCTGCCTTCCAGCTATCAGATTCCGTTTCTCAGTAATGTTTACCTTTTATATTTCAAAAGTGTTAGATTATTTATGCCTTTAACAAACATGTAAGTTTATTCTAAAAGTCAGTCTCTCCAAGTATATTATGAACTATTCTATGATTACTGTATGTGCAAAACATTACATACTTATGTTGTATCAGTTAATCAATTTCTCGCTGAGCTAGGCTGGCCTCTTCCCCCCCCCCTTTTTTTTTTTTAACAGAGTTTCGCTCTTGTCCCCCCAGGCTGGAGTGCAATGGCGCGTTCTCTGCACACTGCAATCTCTGCCTCCCGGGTTCAAGCGATTCTGCAGCCTTAGCCTCCTAAGTAGCTGGGATTAAAGGCACCCGCCACCACGTTCAGCTAATTTTTGTATTTTTAGTACAGGCGGAGTTTCGCCGTGTTGGCCAGGCTGGTCTCAAACTCCTGACCTCAGGTGATCCGCCCACCTCGGCCTCCCAAAGTGCTGGGATTACAGGCATGAGCCACCAGGCCGGGCCTTTTTCCCTCTCTTTTAACAATGGAACCTAAGTGCTTAAACTTGAAGGTTTAAACCTTGTATCTCATGTGGCGCATTAATCTCAGCAATCCTCTTTTCCAACTACAGAAAAACTAGGCAGCATTTTGGACCATAAAACAAGGTATTGAATATGTTATTTTATAATTAATTTTTTTCAAGATGAAATCTAGAAGCACTGAAAACCCTTATAAGTGCTCCTTTATCTGGTGAAGGAAACTGTAGAATAAGAAACTTTTATTTTACTCTGTTAGGCTTTGTAGTTGGGCCCTACAAATTAAATTGACAAAAGACAGATTAACAGGGGAAAAGATTTATTGCTGTATATATGCATATGGGAGCCTTCACAGAAAGGGAATAAAAGCCCATGGAGGCAGACAGACCCGGGGGTTTGTATACCATTTTAAAGAGGTGGTGGTTTCCTAGGGGAGTAAACTGTGGGAAGGAAAATATAGGGAGTAAACTAATGGAAGACAAGGATTATCTGATGAAGTCTTGTATGCAGGTTCAAGTCATCTCAGGTGGTAAGAATTGTCTCTGAGGGCCATTCTCCTCTTCTGATATAACCAAGGAGGACATCTTTACCAAGGGAAATGTCTTTTATACATGAAAGGAGTTGTGTTTGTTTTTGTTGCTTCATGAAAGAGAAACTTTTACCGTTTTCAGTGCTTTTTCTGTGTCAGCTGTTTCTCAAAATAATCCTTATAGCCAAGTGGTATATTTTGGGGGAGGAATATTCTGGTTGTCTATATAACATCCTGTAAACCAAAAGGTATCTGAGGCAGGTGTCAATCAATTTAGAAAGTTTGTTTTGCCAAGATTAAGGATGGGCCTGTGATACAGCCTCAGGAGGTCCTGATAACATGTGCCCAAGGTAGTTGGGGTATAGCTTGCTTTTATACAGTTTAGGGAGACAAAAGATATCAATCAACATGTGTAAGATGTATGTTGGTTCGGTTCAGTAAGGCAGGACAACTCGAAGTGGGGGCTTCCAGGTTAGAAGTAGATTCGAGACAAAAGACTGCATTCTTTTGAGTCATTGATCAGCCTCCCATTGAATACACAATTTAGTCTGGCTCAGTGAATCTGCATTTTTACATAAATAATAGGGCAGAGGACGCAATCAGATACACATGTGTCTCAGGTGAGCCTCAGAAGGATGACTTGGAGTTCTCTTTATCCTTTGTCCACAAGGAATTTCCTTATGGGAAAATTGTAAGGGAGGTATGTAGCTTTTTATTATAGCTATCTTATTTAGGAATAAAATGGAAGACAGGTTTGCCTGACATAGTTCCCAGCTTGACTTTTCCCTTGGCTTAGTGGTTTTGGGGTCCTGAGATTTATTTTCCTTTCACAATCCTATGAAAGATCTCTGGTTTACTGATTGCCTTGAAAATATTTTGCCCTTGAGCTGGGCGCGGTGGCTCACTCTTGTAATGCCAGCACTTGGGGAGGCTGAGGCTGTTGGATCACCTGAAGTCAGGAGTTCCTGACCAGCCTGGTCAACCTGGTGAAACCCTGTCTTTATTAAAAATACACACGAAGCGGCCGGGAGCGGTGGCTCACGCCTGTAATCCCAGCACTTTGGGAGGCCGAGGTGGGCGGATCACGAGGTCAGGAGATCGAGACCATCCTGGCTAACATGGTGAAACCTCGTCTGTACCAAAAATACAAAAAATTAGCTGGGCATGACGGCGGACGCCTGTAGTCCCAGGGGAGGCTGAGGCAGGAGAATGGCCTGAACCCAGGAGGCGGCGCTTGCAGGGAGCCAAGATGGCGCCACTGCACTCCAGCCTGGGCAACAAAGCGAGACTCAGTCACAAAAAAAAAAAAGAAAAAGAAAAAAAAAAAAAGAAAACGAAAAAAGAAAAAAAATACACACAAAAATTATCTGGGCATAGTGGCGCATGCGTGTAATCCCAGCTACTCAGGAGGCTGAGGCAGGAGAATTGCTTGAACCTGAGAAGCGAAGGTTGCAGTTAGCTGAGATCACACCACTGGACTCCAGCCTGGGCAACAAAGCGATACTCTGTCTCTAAATAAATAAATATAAATACAAAAATGCTTTGCCCTGGGAATATTTACATTGTTGGGGCTCAGAACACAATTCCCCAAAGTATGGCATATTGACATGCTGTAGCTTCTCAGGAGGCTGAGGCAGGAGAATTGCTGGAACCCGGGAGGTGGAGGTTGCAGTGAGCCGGGATCACACCACTGCACTCCAGCCTGGGCGACAGAGCAAGACTCCATCTCAAAAAAATAAAGTAAATAAATACAAATAAATAAATAAATAAATAAGTGCATTGCCCTGAGAATATTTACATTGTTGGGGCTCAGAACATAATTCCTGAAAGTATGACATCTTGGCATGCTGAGTACTTTGAACTAAAGGAGATTGGAGGACCCTCAGAAGCAAAGTCTTTCTGACCTCCTCCTGTTCTCCCCTGGAAGAGAGTCATACAAACCAGAAGGTCTCTTCCCCAAAGTAGGTCACAGAAACTACAACTGCTCTCCCTCAAAGCAAGCCTTAAAACCTAGAAAGTTACCCTCCCTTCTCCCTTGAAGACTGTCATTCCAAAGGGGTCCTGCCATATCTAGGAGGACGGAATGCTATACAGAGAGGCCAAGAAGAATCTGGACAAGGTTTGCTAAGTTTCTTCAATACTGTCTTTGTCTAAACACATTTCTAAATGTCTGTCTATTCTTCATTGGAGGTACATATGAAAATAGATAGTTTTCCCTGGATCTTTGGAGCTTCATTTCTGAAGTCTCTAGTGTCAGGTAAAACTTTGATTAGATTCATTTGTTATGCTTTACATTTGTCAACCTTTTTTTTTTTTTTTTTTTTTTTTTGAGACGGAGTCTCGCTCTGTCGCCCAGGCTGGAGTGCAGTGGCATGATCTCGGCTCCCTGCAAGCTCCGCCTCCCGGGTTCGCGCCTTTCTCCTGCCTCAGCTTCCCAAGTAGCTGGGACTACAGGTGTCTGCCAACAGGCCTGGCTAATTTTTTTGGAATTTTGGTAGAGACGGGGTCCCATCGTGTTAGGCAGGATGGTCACCATCTCCTGACCTCGTTATCCGCTCGCCTCGGCATCCCAGAGTGCTGGGATTACAGGCGTGAGCCACCTGCCCCGGCTGTTAACCTCTTTTTTGTTATAGTTCAGGCTGTGACCCTTATGGTCTCCCAACTTCTGTGCTCTACAGCATTGACATCTGTGTTTTTCAGATATGTAATTTTTTTTTTTTTTCCCCGAGGCAGGCTCTTGCTCTGTCACCAAGGTTGGAGTGCGATCTTACCACCTCAGCCTTCCCAGATCCTGGGACTACAGGTGTGATCCACCATTCATGCCCAGCTAATTTTTATATTTTTTGTAGAGATGGGGTTCCACCATGTTGCCCAGGCTGGTCTCGAACTCCTGGGCTCAAGCGGTCCACCTGCCTCAGCCTTCCAACCTGCTGGGATTACAGGCATGAGCCACCACACCCAGACCCTTGAAAATTCTCTGTGTTAAATCGTTAAATCAGATACTTTGTTAGTTCTCTTCTCCTACCAGCATGGAAACAAATAGAAGATTTCTTAATTTTAAAAAAAAAGTTTGTTTCATTTAAATTAAGTACCTTTTTAAATGACTCCTTTTTGTTTTCCTCACTTATGATAATGATAATTGATATGACAGTTGCTCAGTATATCCTTGTTGGTTAACTGGAATATATTGTGTAT